GTATGTTTGTGCGAAATCAGAGCAATATTGCTTAAATAATAAAAAAAAAGTATTATGTAGTACATATTAGTTATGTATGGATGTGTATGTATTAGAAGCTTAGTAGATACATATATATGTATGTATGCGGCTGTTGATAATAGTAAATAAGTAAATAGTAGAAAACACAACAACAACAACAAATATTATATATATATATATATATATATATGTTTACATAGCATGCGCAACAACAACGTGCCATGTTATTTAAAAAAAAAAACAAATATGTATATAAATGCAAAATAAGTCGAATCAATTCAAAAAATTATAAATTTGCATTCCATTTAGTTAAAATAAATAATTTTACTTAAAAATATATTTTGGCGCATAATTTTATAAATTGGTAATTTATGGATTTCCAAAATGAAAGGGGGAAAAATAAATACAAAGATATGCATGTAAGTACTCGTATTTTAGTAATCATTCAATCAAAATGCAAATTATCGCATTGACATTTTAAATAGTTTCGAATTTAGGCGACGAATTATGTAATGTGTTAAAATCGAACATAAACGAACAACAAAATCTGCATTCAAAACGCTAAAACGTTGATGATGATGTCGACAAAATTGATGGGAATATTGTGAAAGGAGGGTGGTTGCTTTGCCGCAATGGGATTTGGATTTGGGCTTGGGTTTGATTTGGTGCGTATGCAGAGGAGAAGGAGGATATGGCAAACGGACGCGTTGTTTTTGCTTGCGTCGCATTTCGAATTTTCTGGCATAACACTCACCGATTTCCTCATCCGTTCTGGGTGGATTTTGTGGCGTTTTCGGCTCATCGCTGCTGTCGCCAATGTTGGATATGCTGATTGGTGGTGTGGCTGTCGCGGCAAGCGTAGGCGAAAGCTGACGCGGTGCTGGAATGATAAGCACGAAAAAAATGAGCAATCGTTGAATTGCAATGAAATTGTTTAAAAAATAAATGATGTTTTAGCTAAGTAATTTGGTTTGCAAGCAAAAAAGTATGCATATGCATGTACATTAGGGTGGTCCAAATATGCATGTGAAAAAGTAAAGTCGGAATTTTAATGCTCTCAACGCCTAGGATCGTTCTTTACCGAAAAAAATTATACCCCTATTTGCTGTTATATTGAAATCAAAAAAATATTAAGAGTTCGCTCAAAGCGCTCCAAATTTTCCATGTATTTTGTATGGGAAAAAAATATTTTTCGTAGAAATGGTATGGAATTCTTGAAAATCAATATTTTTCGATCGGAAAACTTTGTTTCTCTTCAGGAGTCTAAAAAAAATAATAACCAAATTTTTATTTTACCATTTTTAAATACCAGCGATTTTTATGGGCATTTTTTGTAGTTTTTAGGGGCCCCTACAAAAATAGTTAATGTAAAAAACTAGTTAAATAAACAATTCGGTATTATGTGTTGAAAGTCTCCCGAAGAGAAACAAAGCTTTCCGATCGAATAATATCAATTTTCAACAATTTTATACCATTTCAAAAGAAAAAATTTTCTCCCCATATAAAATACATGGAAACTTTGAGCGCTTTGAGGGACCTCTAAATATTTTTTTTGCAAAACTAACAGGGGTTCAACTTTTTCGGTATGGAACAATCCTAGGGGGTGAGAGCATTAAAATCCCGACATCACTTTTTTTTTTGGACCACCCTAATGTGGGTCAAACCATGCCACATCGACCAATGGTTGGGAACAACTTTTTCTTATTTGGATGAATTTTCGTCAGAACTTTATTTTATCATAAATATAATGAAGGAAAAAAATTAATTTCACAATATCCGGGATTAGGCAAGTTTATTTTTTGAATATCTCAAAAACTATTGTATTTACAAAAACGGTTGTAAAGCTGATATTTAGGGCTATAAAGAAAAAAATATATATAGTAATCAACTAAAGTATTGGCACAGAGAATTTTTCGCAATGTATGTAAAGTTGTTTATTTTAATTTCTTTTCGCTAATTTATTATAAAAAAATATAGTTCGTACTATAACAAAAAATATAAAAATAAAGTCCCTAAACTTTGTGCAAAACTGAGAAAAATTCAATAAAATTGCAAACTAGGTAGAAACTTTCTAAACATATTTTTTATTTTAGTGTAACAAAGTGCAAGTTTAAAGTTGCCAAAAAATCTCGTTGTAGTATATTCGACAGTTTTTTTTTTTTTTTGGATGGAAGAAAATAAAAACACCGTCTTAAGAGACCCTAAAAATTTCGCGGTGGTTTTTTTCAAGGACATATGTACAATTTTGAACTTTGAACTTTTTTTTTGCAAACTCTAAACAAAGTTATGCTAAAAATTTTCTTTTATTTAATTTAAATGTATTTTAAATATAGTTTGCAAAAAAACGTTTCTTTTCAAAGTTCCAAAACTCATATCTTAAAAAAAAAACAACGGTGATCTTTTAAGATCAATAGAGTTGGTTATAGAAACACTTAGCCAAAAATGTAATAAGTTTTTGCTTTTACTATTTATTAGATTTCAAAATTCTGCATTTTTTTGTTTAGAATTTTTTCAAAATAAATTTTTTTTATATAACCTATGAAACGAGATGCCAAAATTCTCCAAATGAAAAGCAGTGGGGCCTAAAAATACACTACACGGAAAAGTAATAGCTGCAATGTGTAATCAGTAGACTGCGGACTTGTATGTAAAATACGGAGCCTAGAAATATGTACCACGTAACTTTAAGCAAAGCGTATAAATTTCTAGTTCCAAAAATATCATACACCCACGCTGTCGAAAAGAGCAACCTCTATAAGACAAATAACCCTTAAAACTCGGCTTGTTCAAGAAATTCCCCCCCTTAGGTAGGCAGTGAATAAATTACTACAATTTATTAGGCAACCCCTACCAATTTGGGTCCCGCTGCATGGTGGCGTCTCAAGCAATTAGAATACAGACGAGTGCGAGAGAACTGTGGGAACTGAGTTCAGCCATACAACCCCTTTGATTATTCAGTCCGCACAAATCGAGGAGAAGGTCAGAGTACACAGCTACTAATGACAGGTCGAAAGATCTTCACACATGCAGAGTCTAAAGATCTTTCTTGCCATCGACTGATGAATGGAGTATACGGAGTCTACGATCTCACTAGAAGGAATGTCTATATTCGCCAAAAGTTCGGAATCATTTAAAGACATGTAGGTATTGGTTCTTGAGGAAATCTCCTCCTGAGCATCAAAATGTGCCGACTGCACGCTTGACAAGCCATCTAAGTAGCTTAAACTGATCTAAACTAGGTTGTTTGAAAAAGTGTGTAGGCATAAATATTTATTACTCTGCTAGCCCCAACATTATTTAAAGCAATTATTTAAATACAAAAATACATATCTACATGTGCCCATACCTAAATAGGTTCATACTGCTGTTATCCCCTCTTCTTTTCAACGTATAAATAGTGAAACCTTATGACATACTATGCAGAACAAAAGCTTTAATGGTTGCCACGATTTCTACCATTTTTTTTGTAACTCTACACTTCTAATACCTCGTTACCGTCCAGTAAGATAATTAAGACACTATGTAGATTGTAGAACCTGTTGCGCTGGCAGCCATCAAGTTTCGCCGGTTTTTGTACAATATTTGTATTTCTTTGGAAATGTAGAAATGCGCATAATTGTTTGTAAATACATACATACAAGTGTATATATTAGGGTGGTCCCCCTTCAATCGGTAATACCACGATTACAGATATCACATACAAATTTTGGCCCCGAGTGGAGACGGTTAAGGCGTGTCGCAACATGGGCTAAAAGGCCAGATGCTCCATGGAGCCTCAAAAAATTAAAAATATTTTTTTCATTTAATACCCAAAATCGATGCTACTAAAGTCGAAGATATTACATACAAATTTTGGTCCCTTAGCTTAGGAAATCTGATGAAAATTTTTGCTTCCTACGTTTAAGCGCCACCCTAATGTATATTTACGAGTACGTGATGTACTGAATTACGTCAGAGTTTATGTACATATGTATGTTTGTATATACATCCACACACAGAATGTATATCTGGTAATAATGTGGGTCATAAATTGGCAGTAAGGTAAACTGTATGCTACTATGTATTGTGTTGCGCCAAATTACAACTTTTCTTTAACAACTTTTTTAATGATGGGAAGAAAAGTTTAAGGTACACGCGGAGGGTGAGGGATGAAGACATTTTCGAGTGTGAGAAAAAAGGTGCGTACAGGCAGGCATTTGTTCATATGTGTTTTGATAGTGAAATATTTAGTTATCATACATTTTTTGTAGGAAACTTTATTAAAGTATTCTTCGATATTCCTAAGTTAAACCCTGAGATTAAGAGTGTTCGCGCGGCAAATAGGCATATGACTGGGCTAAGAAGGCCTCAGGGGCTGCGCTTCACCTGGGGATTATCGCGTATTGGTTTGGTGGAGAGAGATGGACAAGAAAATCTTTCTTAAAAGAATAGAAATTGTATTCAGGCTATCAATGATCGGACTGACAGGAGCATCTAGAACTACACAAACGGCAGAATTTTACACGGTGGAGTGCAATAAGGCCCGCGGAAATAACGCCCATGGGATTTATTTCAAAAAATAAAAAATAAATAAAGCCCATTTCGTAGGGGAAATAGCACCCACCAATAAAAGGCAATAAAGCCCGCGGGCATGAGCAGTGCACAGACGGGTCGATGATGGAGAAAGGCGTAGGGGCGGAAGTCGAAAGCCGTGGAGCTACTTAACAGTAAACCTAATGCTGACTACACACGAGGCAAGCGTTGATGCTACCAGGGCATGTTGCTTCGACCGTTGCCTCGTGTGTAGCATTGTTTCTCATACATATAAATTCGTGTTGCCGCAACCGTTGCTCGAAAATTAAAATATTTTGATATTTTGTATTGGTTGCCGTATCGGTTGCCTCGTATGTATCGTTGTGTATTGAGTTCACTGCCTTAGTTCGCTGAAAACAAGTGGGCTGAAAAGGTGTTTTGGTAGAAAACAAAATTTTCTTTCGTATGCTCATTTCATAACACAGCACACACTACTGTGGTTGTCGCAATAGTTGCCTCTACGGTTGCCTTGTGTGTATTGAACAAGAAAAACATGTTGCTTCAAAACGTTGCTTCAACGATGGCCCCGTGTGTAGTCAGCATAAAAAATAAACATTGACAGTAACACCTCGATAAAGGCGCTCCTATCGCGCAGCACTTTCTCAAGAAGTGTGGTGGAGTGCAGATCAGCTCTGCATTTGCTACATACTGATACATCTGTACTGGGTGCCGCGGCACAACGGCGTCGCGGCCAATGAGGAGGCGGACATGCTTGTCAAAGAAGGCGCCCTGTCGAAAACTATGCCGATAGAGGAAGTGCCGATTTCCCTCCAAGCGATGAATGGAAGTTGGACCTATCTCCATGATCCGGAATGAGCAGAACATGTGAACCAAAAGACAAGGCTGCAAAGTGTCCTGGATTATGGGCACAGCGTACGACATAAAGCTCACGTAGTTTCTCCTATCTTTCAATAAGTAGGACGCCAGGCTAGTGGTGAGTATCTAACTCAATATTCGTCTGCTGGCATCGCATGCTTTTAAAGTGACTCTGTAGGAGATACAGGATTAAAGAGGAGACAGTGGAACAGCATGGATTAGCATCATGGGAGCAGGCTTTCAGGGTGTTCCAGATGCCAAGAGGACATTGCTCCTGATGCTCAGTGATTAGCTGCCTAATGTCGTCGTAGTTTATCTGGTACGCTAGCGAGCCTACCTAACCTAAAACGAAGATCACCCGATTTGTATATCAAAGACATATTTTTTTTATTGCTTAAAGCTATTCCATAGGTATTTCACTAAAGGATCCTGACCTAACAATTTGTAATCCAACAATTTGCTTCATAGGCGTTTCTTAGCTTAAAAAAAGCGGCCAGAGAAATTAAGAGCAGAGAAACCAATAGGCCTACTACCTAACTTGAACTGACTCAGTGAGAGGAGAGTACCAGGTTTCATGTACAATAAAAATAAAAAAAATCTTTTCAATAAAAAACTGATGGGTAGGATTTTAAGTAAAGCAGAGTACGCAATGCACTCCGGGATGCCTCAAGTCAGGCTGAACCAGATTTGAGGTGCCATCAATTTATTAGATACTTTAATACATAAGTGTTGTTATATGACACTTGAGAAGTGCTTACACAAAAATTTCATAAATTTCATAAAAGAAATTCTGCAAATTTTTTGTGCGTTTAGTATGCATTTAGGCACTAGATGTTAGTAGTCGCCTAAATAAACTTTGTATATTTTGGATTTTCAGATAGTCAATTCAAGTAATATGAAAAACTAAGAACAATTTTCTTCATTTCACTTACCCCGTCGTGGTGAAGTTCGCTGCTCTTCACGACTAAGCGCCGTGGCAGCTGTCGCTGACGCTGCTGCTGCTGCTGCCGCTGCTGCCGCTGCCGCCTCTGTGCCCCTAGTCTTCTCCTGCAGCTGCTGAAACATATTAGCACGAGCGCGTACGCTGTTTCGACGTGCCAAACTAGCAGCAGCACCACTACCCGCTTCGGCATCACCACCTTCATGCTTGGCA